AAATGGTGTTCGCAAAGTGGGTTTCCCCTCCACCTTCCACTGTTACTCTTCAGTGGAGGCATTCCAAAGGAATTCCTTTGGGCGCTTTATAAGTTCCTATCGCTTGGTGCAATATTGCTGTTTGGTTGAAAACTGGCATTTTTATTATCTGGTCTTAAAATGTTTAAAACATTTCAAGGCGATTGAATTATTTTGCCCACAAAATATATAGTCAATTCACTTTACAGTATATCCTGTGAAGCGCTTTGAGATGTCTCAATGACGAGATAAGGCGCTGTATCAAATGGAAGGTTTATTATTATTATGTGCAGTGACTGTTATTAATCTAGGCAAACACAGCAACCATGAGGTGAATGACCATGATGTGAATGACCATGATGTGAATGACCACCATTGGCCTGCTTTTATGTCCTGCGCCTATCCTCCCCACCATTGGTAGTCGAGCTTTCAGCCATTCTGCCAACACTCTGTGCAACTCCATCCCAAAGTCTCTCTGACTCATTCCCTTGCTTTCGATCAGCATTCTCCCTATCCACCCATCTCGAACACGGGTGCCCATCCAGCATTGTTAAACACTTTCAGGCATCCCCTCAACGTAGAAGGTACTGTGTAGACGTAAATTGTTTTTTATTGTATCTGTGTACACTGTAGCACAAGAGTGTCGCTGCTTTGGGAGGACCATTGCAATGCTTCCACATACAATAGTATCACACCAGATGTGATGTGCAGCTTCTCTGGTGGTTTCTTGTGTCAGCTGAGGTTGTTATTTTTTATTGGGGGTGTGGTGAAGGGTTGAGCTGCCCGTTTAATGTCTGCGAGGTGAGGGTGGAATGTTATGATATACTAGTAAATCAGTTTAATTATTGAAATTCTATGGGATTGACTGGAAATGTGGCCAACTACTTTTGCAGTTGGTTATTCACATAACCCTTAACACAGTGCTTGGCACTTATGCCTGCGACAATTGGTTCTGTACAGATGTTTGTCGCATGTATTTGCAAAGGGAAAAGTAAAGCTGATAGGCATGTGTTATATATTACAGTACGTGTGTGGTGAATACAGTATTGAGACCATATGCTGTGCTGTACATGGAGACTGGTCTCCTGAGTATCCTAGGCTATAATTATGAACTATATTTCCAATTTCTTCAGTCCTCTCAATAGACTCCCTGGAGGTGTACCTGGTACATTTATTGATATGTATTTAACTTCACATTCAATCAAAACAATTGCAGGACTGTATTCTGATGAATTACCAGCTTACTTTGAAGTGGTCTTGCAAATATCTTATTACACTAATTCATTGGAGATAATTGTGTGCAATAAGTCGCAATAGTTCCACTCCAAAGAAATATGTTGCTCATGTTTGACTCAAGGCCATTTGGTTCTCAGTATTTTCTTGGGAATGGAACAGGGCGGTAACCTGATTTTGCTCAGTGAGTAAATGAGTCATTAAACATTGGATAGATCCTAGCATCTGTCCTAAATTGACTCATTTCACCCGAAACAACAGTACAATTAGGCTCTGCGCTCCTCGTTAGAGAGGAGAACATTCTGTCAGTATACTCACCCCTGACTGTTATTTAGAGGTACCTCTAATACATGAATTGTGGACACCGGGTGAGGCAAGATCGAGCTCAGTTTTAGTGCATGTGTGTGCGCGCAACCTGAAAGAAACTGGGATTCAGCTCTGTTACAGATTATAAGTGTGTGTGTGGACATTGGGATTGACTGGGATTGAGCTCTATTATATTCTGTGTGCGCGTGGGTGTGGATGCCAGTAAAGCAGGATCAGGCTCTATTGCATTTCTGACACTTGTGCCGAATTGTACTGAAGAATGATGCCAATTGGGCAAGGTAGCACTTATACAGCACCCTTCACATAGAATAACATCTTGGAGCGTTTAATCGACAGTAAGTAGAAGGAGGGTGAGAAGAGTCTATTTTTTTTCAGGAGAGAAGTGTGAGAAGAGAAAACTGGGGAGAAGGTGAGAAACGATTGGCGAGGAGACAAGATTTAGAACTAGCCAATCTCAGGAAGTTCGAATCCAGTGGTCAATACTTTTACACCCTTCAGCGGAGAGGAAAAAGTTTCCCAAGTGCATTGCAAACAACCACCTGCCTTTCACCTACTTGACCCGACATTTGTGATCAGCATTCTTCCCTCTCCCATAGTTACACTGACTGAAACTGGAAGTGAATTCCATGTTTCTCTTGCTTTTTCAATTTCCTGTAAAGCTCTTCTCAGCTGCTCATACTAAGTCCCAGTTGCATTCTTTTGACATTCTCAATATCATCCAGTACAGCTCATTGTTCAGCTATTATGTGTCAGAAGTATCAACGTTGGGAGGAATGGGGAATCTAAACAGCTGGTTTGTTAAAGTTTAGTGATAAATATAGATAAAACCTAATGATATCTCTTCAATTTAGATGAAGAATAAGAATTAGTGCTACAGCAGATTGAACTGTGAACAGTTTTAGAACATTTTTGATGTTTTTTTGGGTTCTTTGCTTTGAGTTCTGTTTGTGATGTTTATTGCATGTTATTTGGAAGTTATTTGGAAGAACAGCCGTGATGAATTAACTTATCCAAACTTTTGAACCTCTGTAGAGATTAAAGAATTGCTTAACCAACTTGGGGCACCATTGCCATCTATCATATGCACTCTATACTTGTGGTGCGCAGTGTTTACATAGGAATCAGTGAACATGCACAGGATGCTAGCAATTCCCACGGGGAGTGGGGGTGAGGAAGGGGGGAGAAGGGCAAGAGAGAAGAAGGAGTTCAAAACTTAGGATAGTGTTGAGAATGAGGCCTTAAAAAACACTTTCTCCAAATTGGAACAAAATATTGAGTATTTTTCTTCTCTTTTATATGTCTTGTACCCACTGTGCAAAATAATCTACATGTGCACACATTTCCATGTGAATGCTTTGGAGCGTTCAACAGATGTGAGATAATGACAGAACCGGTCAGGTTTGGTTGATGGGTTTGAGTGCCTGGTGCAGTACTTCGTATGCCTGGATTGCCATTGGATTTGTTTGCAGTGATGATGTTACGATAAATTAAATCCAAGGGCATAGGCTCCAGTTATTAATGATTATAATATAATAATCCTTACATTTAATAGCGTGCTTTTCAAGTCAGGAGGATGTCCCAAAGCTCCATAGGATTTACTGTAAAGTGTAATGATTGTGTACATGTGGCCAAACACGGCAGCTAATTTGTCCAGAGTAACGTCCCCCAAATAGCCATGGAGTGAATGACCAATTTTATTTGGGGTATTGTTGTCCTTGTCCCTGGGATAAACTCCCTTCTCGAATAGTGTCTTGGGGTCTTTAACATCACCTGAACAGGCAGACAAGACCTTGGTTTGAGGTCTCATCCAAAGGACGAAAACAATTCAACCCCCTCCCCCAGCACTGCATCGGAGTGTCAGCTTAGACTATGTGAGTTTAAGTCCCAACATGGGACTTGAACCTACAGCCTTCAGAGATGCGAGCGCCACTACTGAGCCAGGCTGACAATATGGATTATGTGGAGCAGAGCGTTAAATGCTGTGTTGATTCAATTCTTCAGATAATAACTGATTAAGGAACTCACCTTCAGATCCCTCCATGGTCTCACCCCATTCTACTCTGTGATCTCCTTCAACCATAACAACCCATCTGCTCAGTATGTCAGTGTATTGGCTCAACAGCCCCGTGTTCAGCACTGGAGCTTTCCTTTTATTCTGCGTCAGTAAATGCCCTCAGTGGATGTGTAACATTTTCCTCTTGTGCATTTTCTTCTACTCCACAAAGGTATCGTCTCTCCAGATGCTAAGCCAGCTATTTACAGGTTGATCTTAACAAACACATTGGGTTAAATAACCTCTTCCTAGTTTGACGCTTTTCAGTGCAACATTAACAAATTGTTGTGTGCATTGCTGCCAAAAGTCATCTCGTCTTCAACTGGGGTGAGATACAAAAATATATATGTGAAGCTTTTCCAGGCATTAACCATGATCTATTGTCCTGTGCAAACTGAATGCAAAATTCAAACTGTTTGAACCTTACATGGCAATTTCCTCCCGCAGCTCCAAGCTTTGATCATTGATAGAGATCAACAATGAATCACTCTGCAGTCCCAAAACGGATATGGAACGATTTTGGGATTAAATGACTTGATATCAGTTCACTGAGTACAGCTGACATTTTGCAATGTGACCCAAGCAAAACCCTCAGAAAACTGAGCCTCTGGACTTGCATGGAACCCAAACGTGGCACAATAAGGGAATGGCATGTGTAGGCTTTTGTGCTGAGCATGGTGCTGGGTTTATTCTGAGTCTTTATAGGAATCATTTAAGAACAAAATCACTGGAAAAAATCTGTCATATTTTACGTGATGGACACCAGGAAACTTGCAGGGAGTTTCTGGTACCTGTCATCGTGAGGGCTCAAACCTGTGCTTGTTGGATGTCAAAAGTGATTATCCACCTTGAATATGAGGTAAGTGGGTTCTCCTTAGAGCTGAGCTGGTTCCAAATTGACATGTTTGGCAATGAAATTTTGGACTCGAGAAAAACCTTCTGGGGAAGTCTCAGTCATCTAGCACTTGAACCAGGGCATTGGTGATGACAACACAGCCAGGTTGGTTCATCGGCAGGACTTAGAGAGGAAGACCAGTCACTGGAGGTAGGGATTCTTCCCATTCAGCTCCTGCTAACTCTGCAAGCCAACGCCCTAAAAGTTAGGATGGTCCCGGCTGGACAAGCAACAGGAAGCTTGCCAATAAAAAATACTATTTAAGTTGATGTCCATTGTGGGACCGTATACATTTCAAGAGCTGGTTGCCACAGATGTTGAATAATGAATATAGCTACACACTATCCACATGTGGATAGGCATTAGCAACAGACTTGAGTTACAACAATCCATGAGGAATGTTAACAGGTAGGTGATTAACTGAGGGACAACAACTGAAGAATTAGTAACAGCAAGAAGTGATGATACAAGAGAGACTATAAGTAAAACTTTTATTCCGTAAAAAAATTACAAGGTATATGTATAAAAAACAGAGTAGTCAATAAAAGTGTGCTTCAGCAGATAGAATGTGGATACTATAGTTTCATCGCTTACATTCAANTTTTTTTGAAGAAAGCATTATCTTCATGGATGAGTGCTTGGCCAATGTTATTCCCTAAGAAAGGCACAACACACTTATATAAACTACACCAACTTATGTTACCACATCACTGTAACCAAAGCAAATCATCAGTGCCTTTATTCCCTTCCCTGTATGAAACCTACAGGTTTGGCCAAACACTTTTGTTTCATGAAAGCCATGCCCCTTTAACTTTTCACATTTAATGGGATGTTGCGATGAAAGACACACACACAGATACACAAACACACCAGACACACAACAAAAGACAGTGGGTCCGTCCTTGCAGCCATTGTAATTTGGGAAAAATCAATGAAATGTCAATACATGCATATTAAAGAGCTAACAAAAAGCCAAGCTATTCTACTGGAAGCTCTGAATCCCCTTCACAAAACACCAAAACAACAGCTGCCATAAGTTAGCCTAATTTTTTAATTTTAAGTAGTGGGAGTTGTATTGGGTTTCAACTTTTCTAAAAAAAAATTTAAATTACTTTGGTCCTCTGAATCTGTTGCCTCTCTCCCTCCCTGCCAATGATGGGCTGGACTTCTAATGCCTGGTTTCTGCCAAAGCTACTATTCGGGGGTATGAATTACCCAGAGAGGCTCTCCCATGGTGTGATGAGACTGAGTTGGACATGCAATGCAAGAAGACAAGGTTCACCTTGTCTCCTGCATGGTGAGCCCCTCTGTTCCACTTCAATCACAGAGACACAAGAGCACAGATCAGACACTTCTATGAAGGGGAAAGAAAAGTAGAGGCCAGTTAACCTGGGCTACACATCACCTACAAGGAGATGGCTAAAGGGTTTTTAGCCGAGTTTTGAGAAACTCGTTCCCAGCCCATCCTCTTGGCCAAGCAAAGAAGAAAGATTTTGTTTACAAAAAAAACAAGCAGACTTATTGAGCACAGAACTGAGAGAGCTCAACCTGAGTGTGAACATATGAGCAGCTCACCAGTGAAGCTCTTGTTCAATTGATAATGGGGTTCAGAGAGTGAACCCATGAAACTTAAGGTGGGTGTTGGATGGTCTGCAGAAGGATTTGGATTTCATGGGCTGAATGGCCCTCCTCATTCTATGCTTTCTGCTTGAAGCTCTTATACCACTGCAGTGCTTTATTCCTGCCAGTGGGTGCTACCAATTTGATAATGTATTCTGAAAAGCACCATCATGTTGCAAAGCAATATTCCCCATCGGGTGCTTCTGTTCCATTCAGATGTTTGCAGGCACGATTCGAACTAACCTTTAAGCTTGCCTTACAGACAGTTACATGGACCGTACAATAAAATGCACCCGAGGGATAAAAGATGCCAGATTACTTGTCGGCGGGTTCGCTGATAGCAGCAAGTGACAGCTAGCTATACTCAGCATTTAATGCAACTGAGGGAGTGTGTGTGTGGCAGCAATCAAAGCACTAAAGGCAAGCGTTGACCGAAAACATTAAATATAAACACACACACAGCATTTAGTGTGGCGTGATTTTATGCGCAGGATCTGGACAGCGGCAAACAGCTGGATGGTTTCTTCATTGTCCCTTTTACACCTTTGTTATTCTGTAAAATAAATGGTGCTAACGTCAATACAGGCTTAGATGCTTCATTAACCAAGTCAGTTTAAAGCAACCCTTCAATAAAGCTCCTATGGGGAACCTTACAAAAACAGGCTGTAGTGGAGGGTGTGCTGCAGTGCATTCTGAATGCACTCATTAAGTAGGGAAACCTAAATGAGATGCTGGAAGCACATCTAATCTGATGCTTCCTGGAGTCTTTGATCCCAGGAAAATGCAGGATCAGCTGGGAGTAAACAGATGTTTTTTTCCATCATTCCTGAAATAATTTCTCACTGATAGAAAGTGAAGATCATTATTTTATTGTTTATCATTCTTAAGTCTTGCCAATCTCTCCTCCATTCCGCCACATTTTTAAGCGTGAGCGTTATTTTTGTGTGTGTGTGGGGGGTGCGTGGGGGGAGATTGGGGATGGGGGTGAATTGGGTGTTCAGTAATTGATGCTAGGTATTGTTCCAATCTGGATGCAAAGAGTCTGCATCAAGCACTTCCAGATCAGAGGGAGACCGAGCAAAGCTTCCAAGTCCCAGGTCAACTAATTTCAACTTCAGCATCACCCATTTTCCATTGCATGTTGCATTTAGCACTATATATCCCTGTCTCTAAAATCAGATTGACAAGTTAGTGCTCAATTCCAACTACTCTGCACGTTGAGCCCAGACTTACTGAGCTTGGTACTAATTTCCACGGGACCCTTTTAACAATCAAGAAAGAAAGAATTGCACAAGCCATATTTTGCCTCAATAAATCATGTCGGCCCAATATAGAACAAGGTCAAAATATCATTTCAAGCCTGTGATTTTCTTTTAAGTTGAAATAATTTGTGCGCTTACTTGTTCAGTCTCCTTTTCCAAAGGTATTTAAACTTGGAGTTCAGGCAGAGCCTACGGCCACTCTTCAAGGTGGCTCTGTAATAGAAATCAACAAAATCAACATGGAATGAACTGCTACATTATGAGATTGTGCCAGGGCACTAATGCGAGAGCTCTTCACTCGTGCATATGTTTTTTCTCAACTTTCATACGGGTAGAAGTTGCTCAAAGCAGTTCATTTGTACTTTAAGTAAAAATCATCCTTGTTTGATGAATGTTTTGGCCTTATTAGGAATTTAGTCCAAACGTGCTTGGAAAGGTAACTTAGTCTCACTTGAGAGGCGCACTTTGCTTACAGTGTACCTCTTTCCCACATACACAGGTTTCCAGATAGGAATCTCCGTGCTGTCTAACTTTAGGGAATATGATACACATATTTGTGGAGTTTAAAGGTGTCCCTTATGTTAATATTGAATTGGAACAATTGCTTTAAGCAATAAGCGTTGGGCAAATTGATATTGTAATATCATTTCAAGCCTGTGATTTTCTTTTAAGTTGAAATAATTTGTGCGCTTACTTGTTCAGTCTCCCTTGTTCAGAGCAACGCAGAGGTTTGGTTGGTTAAGGGCTTTCTCTCTGCTATTCTTCTGCCTATTATTGTATATGTTACCTGTCATTTACTTATTTGCTGTGTGTGAAGCAGATTACAGTATATTACTGTGGTGTAATTTAGCTGCTTAGTGGATGCAATCATTCTAGTTAAAGTCACACAAGCTCTGGTGGGTTTTGTTTGCAAGATCTTAATAAAATGAAATTAATTCATTTGGTTCAATAAAACCTAGGGTTCGGGCTGCAAGATATTGACAGCTCAATTTATAAAGGTATCCAGACTTTCCGAAGATCGGTCAGTCTATCCAGCGGGTAGATTTGCTGAGCAATATGCTTTATGTATGCTGTGTTCGCTGATTTTAGACAGATAGTGTTAACAGTGCAGACATGGTGGTGTTAACAATGCTCCAATGAGTCTCAGTACTTTGGTTTAGGGGGTTGGAAAATATACCAGAAATCTTTACTCCTCATCACTGTGTGTGGATATAAGGACAAAAGGCCAAGTTCAGCCTGAGCTGTAACTCCGCCAGCCCATATGAGCAATGCCCATTTGAGTGAGGTTAAAGAGAGCGATTATTGATGCAGACAAAAGGCAGAATGATTCGATCATGGTCAGGAGGCACTGCTGACAAGTTATGCACGATGTTTGCTAACACTTTTAGCTGCTTTTCAATATACTCAAAGATTATGAAAGTGCTTACACGAGCTGCAGAGGACAGTTCGGGATGGGGATAATCTGCAGAGCCTTAATGTTGTTCACATTGATGTGCAATGTTCCACCTCTGCATATGCACCTGTTGAGCACAGCAGCCGGTTTCTCTATAAAACCAAACAGAATTATTAGTCAATGGACTGCACACGTAATGCAGCATGCTTGGAGTTTCACCCTCACTCTACTGTATGACAGAGCCCAGGTTAGCTTTTTGGAATCAGTAACTGGTGAAGATTACTTTGCTGACTGGAAAAATAAAGAAAATATAATTCTTACACTTGATATAGTGCCTTTCACGTAAAGAGGACAACTTTTAAGAGAGAAGTAGATAATTATTTGGGGAGGGCAAGTTTGCAGGGCTATGGGAAGAGCACGGGGGAATGGGATTGATTTGGACAGCTCTTTTAAAAGAGCCAGCACAGACACAGTGGGCTGAATGGCCTCCTTCTGCGCTGCATAATTCTGTGATTCGGCACTGACTCCATTGGCTCCTTTTCAGATTTGTTTGCAAATCCTTGGTCTTTCCTCAAAGCTCATCTGCCCCCACCCCCCACCACTTATTGACCTATCCCACCTGCATTTTGGTCGGTTTCCGATCACGGCACCAGTTCACCATGGGATGGGGTATCATATTTATTGAAAACAATAAATATAATACATCAAAAACAAAAGCCCAATGAATAAAGAAACAACGATTGTCATCAATCTTTGTTTATGCACCCCCACCCCCCCCCACCCCCCAACCCCCCACCCCACTCCATCATTCCTTTTTGCTAGGATGTCCCACAAGTGACACATTATTACCAACTCTATTTTTGGGAAGTTTGTGCATTCTAGGCATGCAGCATTGCAACACATACACTGTGTTGCACACTGGAGCAGAATTCCAACATTGATGTGAATCACTGTACCCACCAGGCAGATTGAAATCATTTTCGACTCCTGGCCAGCTTAATTTAATGGCTCCAGGTGAGGTATTATATATTTTTTAAAAAACACACACATACACACTCTGAAGCATAAATGAACTGAACGAGTTCTCGCCAACGACAGACACACCAGTGCATTTTAATCCAGAACAGCTGCAAATTCAGCTCGAAAATAGCCACATAAACTGACTTGTCTTGGGAAAAACTCAGGTAGACAGTGCACCACACAGAACTGCTCTTGTCACACGCCTTGTCATGCTCGTGTGTGTGTGTGTGTGTGTGTGTGTGTGTGGCATCATCAGTGCATCAGTCACAGTAGGTACCACAACAGCCCAAAGCATTTGACAACTGCTTTAATGACCACCTTGTTTCAAGCTTTGCCATTAAAAAGGCGTGTTGCATTCTTGAAACTTCCACCCCCCCTCCCCAATAAAAGCAGAAAATCCCATAAAACTAAAAAGCCATCGCTGATGTGCACCTGGCAGCCTGGACCACTGAACCTTCCTCCAAAAAAATACCCCCCCCCACTCCAAACAGTCTGCATAACAGTTACACAAGGCTCAGTTGTAAGATGCTTAGAGAAAGAGAGTGACTGAGTGAGTGAGTGAGTGAGTGAGACCAATTTTCCATCCTGTTGCTCTATCACAGCAACAATTTTAAAACTATTTTACACCCAGGTTAAAAAAAAACAAAATTGTTGGCAATGGCAAACAGCCACGACTCAACGTTGGGACGAAGACAAATTAGTTGGGAGCTGAGTTCCTATCTTACCTTCCTGTTGGCAAACAGTTGGCATAGAGGAACCAGAGACCAGATTGAGTGTTTTCACCCCTTTTTTTTGTGTGTGTGTGTGTGTGGGGGGGGGGGGGGGGGGGATGGGGGTTTGGTTCTCACTCAGCTTTTCAGTCAATAAAAGAAATAAAAATAACAAGTCAATGTGTGCTGGAGAGAGACACACAGAGAGAGGGAGAGGGAGAGAGTGTTGCCTTCTCCTCTCCTCTTACTTACTTCTCAGCAAAGCTCTTTAAAGACTTACCCTGAGACTGGTTGATGCACAGCACAGCGAGGAGCAGAGCTGTCACTGCACACACCTTCAGACTCATCTTGTGTTGTGTCAAGTCGACAGTCAGACTTTCAGCAAAGGGTCTCTCTCTCTCTCTCTCTCATGGAAACAACGTGCTTTTTGGGGTTGCATTTATATTTAACAAAAACTCCTCCTTCTGCTTCGCGATTGGGTCGCAAGGAATAAGTTGGAAACTCAGAGACAGGATGTAACAATCCTTTCCTTAATCCTCAGAGACCCTACAGTTTGCAGATCGTGAATACCTTTTTTTTGGGGGGGTTAGGGAAGTGGGATCCCACAATTCATTCGAATAATACGGTCAATAAATATTTAAAGAGAATCTAGGAAGTCATTAGGGTTTATAAGCAAAACTGTTTTATTCTCTCTGGGTAAATTATGGGGATTTCCTATTAATTTACTACGTGGTGCAATTTGGCAGTGAGCCACACAGAGTTAGAAACGTTCCAGATTTCATCCCAGCTCTGACCAGAATGGCACTAGTGTTATCCATGGGATGGGGAAGATTGCCCCCATCACCAGTGACCACTTGCTGGAAGGGCAGTGTGGAGTCCTGTAGCTCAGTGGTTAGAGCACTCGCTTTACAAGCGAGAGACCTGAATTCAATTCCAGGCACAGGGCGAAACCTTGGGCAAGTTTCCTTACTCCACACGCCTAATAGTAATCCCTCCAAAACCAAAAACAATAATAAATTGGTCATTTTCAATCTACGACTGTTTGTGGGACATTGCTGTGCGCAATTGGCTGCCGCGTTCCCCCACAAATATACAGTCAATTCGCTTTACAGTGTGTTCTGTGAAGCGCTTTGGGACGTCGTCCTGACGTGAAAAGCGCTATATCAAATGCAAGGATTATTATTATTATTATAGGAGGGATGCCAGAGTGGGTTGTAAGAGCCCCTGTGGTTGAACAGCCTGCGCGTACTTAATGTGGAGAACATGAACAATGTTGACAGGGCAAGGTTGGTAACTGGAGGGTTCACCAGTGTGGTATGACAATCATAATAATAATACTTCCATTTGGCATAGAGCCTTCTCAAGTCGTTAAGACATCTCATAGCGCTTCACAGAATGTATTTCAAAGTGGATCGACTGTGTGTGCGTTTTGTGGGCGAAATAACAGTGTGAGCTTTAGGATAGAAGAATAAACAGAGAAGTCAGAAGCTTTAAGAATTGTAATTCTATCTATCAAAGGGAAAGTTATTCCTAAAATCTGATTTTAAGTTGTATCATTTTGTTTCCCTAACTTAACATGAGAATAAATAATAATAATCCTTGCGTTTGATTTAGCGCTTTATCACATCTTCAAGATGCCTCAAAGCGCTTCACAGAATATACTGTAAAGTGAATTGACTGTATATTTTGTGGGCGAAATCCAGTAGCCAATTGTGCGCAGCAGTGTCCCGCAAACGGTTGTGGATTGAAGTGACCAATTTTTTTAAAGAAATTAAGTCTTGAAATGAAATGCACTTTGTTTCTTAAACTTCAGGCATTGTAGATATTTCTTATCACGATGACCGGTTGCATAAGGTCAAATAATTCTGCACATCAGCCTGGCTCAGTTAGTTGCTGTCTCACCACTACGTGAAAAGATTGTGGGTTCAAGCCCTGTGTTGGGACTTTGAGTGTTGGACTTTGATAATGTAATGCAGTGCTGGGGGACTCTCGTTGTTGGAGGCGGCATTCTTTGGATGAAACATTAAACCAAGGTCCCATCTGCTGTACAGTTCAATGTTAAAGGGCATGGCACTATTTGAAATGAGTAGGGAGTTTTGCTCGCTGTCCTGGCCAACAATCTTTCAGATTAAAAAAAAAGGTTAATCATTTCATGACTGTTTATAGGACATTGTGTGCAAACTGGCTGCTGTATTTACGAACAAACACACAGTCATTACAGTTTACAGAAAAAAATGAGAATCACTTTAAGGCATTCTCAGAGCTTGTCAAATGCAAGAATTATTATTCAATGTAAAATAGATTTATATATAATTGCAATCTAAATGTTTATAGAATTTTAAAAAATAAGCTCTAGGAATCATTGTCTAAACGTACAATCATTCATTAAACTATTACAATCGACCACTTGTAAACTATTGAACTAAACCACTTGTAAACATGAAATCAAACACTTCTGAAACAATAAAATACACCACTTTGCTGTGCAATTGCTGTGTTTAATAGCCTTCATACAAAAAAGGAACAAATAAGTAAATGGACATTTTTCTCTTTTTTTAAACAAATATAATGTTTTCAAATTATGTTGATTCCAATTTGGTTAAATATTTAGTTTAAAATTCTGTAAATCGCACGTGGCAGCTGTGATGCATTTTCCGCCTGTTGTTGTAGGTTAGTGAGTTGCAGCATTATAAGTAACAGAACAAAGGTCACTTTTTATGTTGCAGGTCGTAATACTGAGCTTGCATGTTTCAATATTCTGCGAGTAAATAAAGCTGATTGTATGTAATAGAGTGTAAGCATCATGTTTGATGTCTGAGAAAGACAGTACAAAGAAGACCCTCAGGCACAAGAGATAATTTATGGTTATTAATATAGAGTTCATTAGAATATAGCTTTCCCATTCTGATTCCATAGCCTAATATGGCTATGTAGCCATACAAGCTCAAAGCTGCCATAGGCTATGTGGAGCCGTTTCCAGAACAAGCAGCAACCCACATTGGTACTTCAGAGCAGAACCTCAAGCAGCAGGTAACTGACATGTGGTGCTGGTTTGAAATTGCATCGGGTTTGTAGAAGCGACAACTCTTACAGCTCAAATATGTTCTTGAAAACGAGTGCCTGTTGGTAATATTCAATTGATTCTATCCATCAAACGGGGCTAAAAAATAGTTGTATCACCTTATTCTAAAAGAGAGGAGAAAATGCCTTTTTAAGACATTTCTCATCATCAAGATCTAAACTGTAGCAACTGTTTGTTTTTAATTTATTCCAGAATGCTTTGGATAAATAAAACATGCTGTTGTTTTATGTGCTCTGTGCATTTCTCGAATTCCACTTTCCAATGATGTTTTAGGGAAGAAAGTTTTTTGTTGGTTTCACTTGAGAAAGCAATTTTGTTGGAAAGTTCAAAATGACTCGGAGCACTCGTAGGGTTAATGCAAGTCTTGAATGTTATCTGGCATTGGTGACTGTTTTAGTTTCCCTAAAGCCTAGCGGTCATTCCACAGAGAGCCTACATTGCTCTTCACCTGAATTGCTTATTGTCGTTTCTAATCTTGTTTACTGCCATCCCTTTTCTAATCTATTTCTGCTTAAACAGGAAAAGTGAAACAATCCCACTTCAATGTCCTTTCCCCTTGCAGTCCTGCCCACTTAAACAATGCAGCCTTGAGCCGGCTCAGGGCCAACACGTGTGCACTGTATATGACATTTGCAACACGCTCCAATGAGTGTCGCTAGACACTGCGTTCTACGCATTGTCATCGACTCCATTGTGTAACTGGAAATATTTATGTGGCCCAATACCCCATACCCCAAGGTCCCATCTGCTGTACAGTTCAATGTTAAAAGGCATGGCACTACCCGAGTAATAATAATAATCCTTAAATTTAATATAGCGCCCTATCACTTCGTTGAGACATCTCAAAGCCCTTCACAGAAAATGCTGTAAAGTGAATTGACTGTATATTTTGTGCGTGAAATGCGGCAGCCGATTGCGCACAGCAGTGCCCCACAAACAGTCGTCGATTGAGTGACCCAAAATTATTGTTTCATTTTTTTGAAGCAATCTGCCAATCGACTAACAACCAGATTCCTATTTACTGCTAGGTAAACAGAGGTGTATGGAGTAAGGAAACTTGACTAAGGTTTTGTTTTGACCGAGAATCGAACCCGGGTCCTCTCACTTGCAAGGCAAGTGCTCTAACCACTATGCTACAGGACTCCACAAGGTTCCTAAATTCATGATATCCTCCTCATGGGACACTCATGCAGAACACTTGTAAAGAGCTTTGGAAATGTTCCATAAAAGCCCATTACGATCAGTCTGGGCAGGTCTACTTTCTGAATGAGCCGTTTGCTTTCTATCTCTCCTGCTCTCCAATCCCCATTGCCATCATAAACCTATCCAACTCCCCCATCAAACTGTCAACACTGTCAAAACCCTCTCCGCCTCCCTGGCCAGACCACTCCACATCTTGACCACTGCATAAAGTGTTAAAATCTAAACTGTTCCCCAAACTGTAACACCCCCACCACCCACCCACCCACCTTTTTAGAACTGTTTGACTTTATTAACCATGTTGCTGGAGTATACTTTTTAATAATAATAATCCTTGCATTTGATATAACGCCTTTTCACGTCTTTGATATGTCTCAAAACACTTCACAGAATATATTGTAAAGTGTATTTTGACTGTGTATTTTGTGGGCAAAATGTTTATTTCTGCAGCCAGAAAATGTCAATAAAATCTTCACTTCATCTTTTCCTCCGGTGTAAACACTCCCACTTTCTAATATATTTTCAAAATTATTCTATTTTGATACAATGCCTTTCACGTGAGGAGGATGTCTCAAATCGCTTCACAGGATTTACTGTAAAGTGTAGTGACTGTTTTGTGGGAGAACAACTTTCTACAGTTACTTGTCACTTTTGATATGATTGTCTGCAATAAACAAACTTAATCTTTATGAGAATCAGTTGGCACAGGCTGGAGGGAACGCATTTTAGTTATTTCTAAATTGCATTTTAATTCAGAGCATGCACATGGAAATTTAGAATTAATCTTAAAATGAACGTTAACCTGGCATGTTTGCTTTTTTGTGTGAAGCTGCCTCTCGCTGGATAACAGGATTGAATGACTCAGTTGCATTTAGTGTCTTGGATTTGTTTTCAATGGAATGGATTCAATTCCACTGCAGCAATGTTAGTATCGTTTCTAAACCCATTCCTCATTGTAACGTCTACAGATGTTACATTTTCCAGATCAGAAGCATAATCAGAGAGCTGACTAATCACCTTTTCCATCCTCTTAAACCACAGGTTAAGTTTGAGTCCAAGCTTGGAGGGAAACGATAATGTCTTCTTCCTGTTGACTGTATCAGTATTGTGTTCTTAAAAGGTTGTAATATTAACTGAGCTTTAAATAGAAAAGTTTTGGAAGTATGGATTTGGCATTTAATGAATACACAGCTTAATGCACAAAGCTGCTAGTTGTCCGTTCAATTGGCACAGCTGTAGTGAGAAACCATTTGTGTCACACTGGTCAAG